TGAGGTACTTTGGGCTTGCTTTCGGGAGCCTCTGACACACTCCGGCTCTCTGAGCCTTGTGTGCCCGTCGTACCTTCTTCTCCAGTGGGTTTCTTCCTGAGATCATCTGGTTGGGTTGCAGAGTCAACGATGGGCCACACGAACCCCGTTCGAGGGATATAGTCGGGACGTCGACTTCGTAAAATATCCAAAGAGGACTGCAACGAGCAAAGCGAGGTCAACTGGAGGGTAGAATGTAAGCTTCCGGCGGTTCTATTTGCAAAGCACTTCAAATGCACCAGTCGATTGGAAAGGACGGTATAGACGTCCGGTGACTGATAAATCCTATTGTTCATGATAAAATAGGCAGATAGAGGGCGAACTTGCGGCCAATTCAGAATGGCCAAGGAAAGTGGCTCGGACGCTTACCTTCGTCGGGAGAAAGTCGTTCGCGTTTGTGGATGATGAACATGGACGGAGGTTGAGCGTGCACAACAGCAAACTCGACTCCAGTAAATCGTCTGCTCTGGTCCCTTAGTTTGCCGAAAATCGGGTCGTTCGAATGCATGCCTCAGTTCCTCGGCTTCGTTGGCAATCGCTGTGCCAGTATGCATTGTCTGCATCCGCAACACCTGATTATTGCTTTGCTTGTCGTAGAACATGGACGTCGTGAAGTATTCAAAAACGTTCTCGGTGGTTAGTGGACCATTGGCCTACATTGGCTGGGTTGAGTCGCGACAAGTCTACAAAGTATGAAGGTTGTTACCTGAATCCATTCATGCCATATAAAGAACCTGTGACTGTAATCGTCTGGCGGGTGTAGGTCATTAACGTCCATCGTGCAAAGTGATGTACGACGCGTCGTGGAACAAGTCGACTTCGGCCCGGTCACATGTGGCGGCGCGCGATTCGAAGATTGAATTGAAATTGAAAGCACTTCAAGTTTCTAGTACCATGAATTACAGTCGTAATATAGTACAGGTACAGATTTGGTTCTCCATCAGTTGGTCGTAGATAAATAGATAGCAAAGGATTCGCAGAACAGCAAAAGTTAAGGAAGAAATATTAAATGTCCGACGGACGCCGGACGATAAGTAGAAAATTCATATCGAGATCACGTTCGTCGCGGGGCCAAGCACAGAGACAGGGCGGTACGATACGTGACACATCGAATGACGCAGGGAGGGACACAGATTCTGGTTTGTGCCAAGGAGCGGACCAGAAACTGCGCAGCCGACTGAATGGTGACGTAAGCCTGCGTGCGCCAGTCAGCCAACTGCGGGCGCGGCAGCGAAACAATGACACTCACACGGAAAGAAGTAACGCAACGGAAGAATAAACTGATCTAGGTGCAATCGCAGTCGACTGCCTGCCCAATAAGGCCTTTTCCGCAGCGATCACACCATCGACGCGTTCCTTGTTCCACGCCGATGGATTTCTTGGAACCAGCGGAGTGGTGGGAGGAGCAGACGCTCTCCTCGCGCTGGGATTCGTCCCGATGAATACTGACGAGGTGGCGTCCGAGGTCGTGCTTGCGACTGAACGAGCGACCGCACGAACGATGAGGGCAGACGTGCGGCTTAAGCCTGTTAGGGTCGTGCGTAGCCATGTGTGTTTTGAGGTTATACGCTCTCGCGAAGGCTACACGAACAAAATAGTGAGTGGCGGAAGACGCGTAAGTGATGAAGCAATCGACCTCGTGGACACGCAGAACACTTGTACTTTTTGCGCGAATCCCCGCCCTTGTAGTCTTCTTCCTCCGGGACTTGTGCCATTTGACCCGCCGGAATGGTGGGGAGTTGGGTAGATATGTGGGAAGGGGAAACGGTTGGACCGGCAAGAGGTTGGTTGTTAAAGTTGAGTTGACTATACAAGTCAACAGGAACTGATGGGCGCCGTGTGGAGGGACCGTAGTCTGAAAAAGTAGTACGGGAGTCGTACGCTTTTGTATAGACCTTGGTGCTGCGGGTTGTGTCAGGCGCCGCGGTGGCACCGAAGGACATGCGATCTGCTGCGGCATCAGAGCTGGCCTGAGCTGCGGCGTATTCTGATGCAGCGTCCACGCGAATACGCTGGAAATCCATTTCGAGGTCCAAGGGGAAGGAGTAGTTGGAGGGAGGCTGAGGGGAATGAGGGTAGTTATAGAAAGACTCGGAGTAAGAGGAGAGGGAATCATAGGCTGATTCGGATGAGGCAGTTATATTGGAGGGGGGGCCGCGAGTGGGTGTATCGGACCTGAAAAACGAGTATGCATCGTGCGAGTCGATTGTGAGAAGCTGAAGCTGGTTGTCGTCGAATCCAGCAAGACTGGAGTCTAGTTCTAGTTCGAAGAGATCGGGATGGGGTGCAAGGATGTCTGAGGGGTTCTGGAAGGACACAAAGCCCTTGTTGTAGTCCGCATTAAAGTCCTCAAAGACTGTGTTGGGCGGATACTGCGTGGCCTGTGGTCCGGACATGGTGCTGGATTAATATGGGCGAGTCTGAGAGTCGTCGTGGAGGGGTGCAAAGAGGCAAGGTGCACAGCATTCAGCTGCGCGATCGTTTGTTATGATCCCATCAAACGTCGTATCGACTCTCTCTGTCTGCATAGCGTCTGTATGGTAAGTTAGTAACCAGATCTCTTGCCGAAGGACAGGTCTGGCAATGCTCATCGTCCATATTTTCCGGGATTTCAATGGTCCTTCCGTTTCAACACACTTTCTTTCAATTCAACACTGCGGGTTGAAATGGCCGTGGTGGGATACAATGTCGGCTCAGTATCGAGTATAAAAGAGTCGCCAATGGCTTGACATCCAACGCTCTCTCAATGTTCAAGATCTCTGTCGTCGCTGCTACTCTGCTCGCCACATTGTCCCTCTCCTCTGCCAAGGTCATCCAGGCCCGCGGGGAACTCGTCCTGTACAATGGCCAGAATATCACCTGGGACTACTCCGACTCAATATTGCCCGAAAGCAATTTGTTTGGAATGGGTCTTCTCCGTACTGGTGCTGCCATCCCCGAAAAGGTCACAACATTTGGGTAAAACTCTATTCTACAATTCGCTGGGCTCAACTAATAGGTATTTACCAGGTGGGAAGGCCCTGTTGTACTTAACATCGATGACCAAGACGTGATCCCTGCGACCTATGTCCTGCAATATCCTTTCTTCGAGAATGGGTCCTCCTACAGTGCGCGTTCAAATCATTCCTTTATTCTTGCCTTCTGAACATCCGAGATAGCCGCCCAACTTTTCCAATACGATACTACTACTCTCGACATTGCGGTGCCCAACGTTCACAACACCACGTTCATTTGGGTGAACCAGCCGGGCCAGCTTGTATGAGCTGGAGAGGACATATACGTACATCTAATTGCAACCCGAATTTCCTGGACGATCAGAAGTGTCCCCTCTCGCACGTCCACGATATATTTTCGACGAACTCAATCAATTTGAATTCATCAGACCTCGTCCCTCTGTTTGCAAAATCTTTTGAGTTGAGTCCCTCAAACAACTCGGGCATACATATCTCAGGATCCTGCGAGATTCCGGCAAGTTTCCGGTAACTTGGTATCGTCTTGCAATTCAGCAAGGACGACCCTCTACTCCTTCGAGCAGAGTCGATCATCCGACTCGAGAATTCCTCAAAGAATCTCGACCCGTCTCGAACCGGCAGACCTATAATATTTGCCAGCATTCGGAGATTTGAAGGGCCAGCCTGGCCGTTGTACATGCTCAAGGGTCGAGGTCACGCAGCGGCAAGTAGAAAAAGGCAGTCGTCCAGTGGTTCAACACCCAAAACACTCTCAATGCTCCAAGTCTCTGCCATTGCTGCTGTACTCGCGACCTTGTCGCTGTCCTCTTGCCAAGAACGTCCAGGCTCGCCAGGAACTAGTCCTGTACTACAAATAGCCAGAATATTACCTGGAACTGCTCCGACTCAATATTGCCTGCAAGCAACTTGTTCGGAATGGGTCTTCTCCGTATTGGCGCGGCCATCGCCGAAAAGGTCACAACATTGAGTAAAACTTTATTCTACAACTTGCTGAGTTTGACTGATGGGTATGTATCAACATTGATGACCAAGACGTTATTCCTGCGACCTATGTCCTGCAATATCCGTTCTTCGAGAATGGATCCTCTTACAGTGTGTCTTCAGCTCTGTCATTTTGGTGTCATTTTGAACGCCCAAAACAGCTGCCCAACTCTTCCAATGTCCAATGTTCATAAACACCACATTCATCTGGGTCCATCAACCGGGCCAGCTTGTATGAACTAGAGATGGACCTCTACATAGGACGTCTGAATGTATCTGGAGACATTTGTTCCCCAGAATTTAGAAGGACATTTCAATGCGCAGGATAATGCGTGCGAACCTCAGGCTGCGCGGTTCCAACTTAGTCGCCATCAACGTTTTATGAAGTAGTTCTGTATTCACTTCAGTGATAGTTAGCGGTATGCCCTGGATGATTAAGTATAGCCCGCCTAGCTCAATCGGATAGAGCGTCAGACTCTTATAGGCGGGCATCTGAAGGCTGCGAGTTCGACCCTCGCGGTGGGCTACTTACTTTTTCATGGTTCCTTTCATCTCTATTTTGTGTCGTTCTCCCTTTCTCTTCTATGTTTTTAACGCTGTTTAGCCAGTGGCAGCAACGGCAGGAAATGCTTACTGTAATATTCTAACAGAAGCGTTAGCTGGATCTACGAGAGCTTGCTCCTGCTAGAGTAAGCGGTCTACTTATCAAAGGCCCACACTATGCGGATATATGCGCAGTAAATGGGCCTGGATTTCGTGCTTTTTTTCCCTCTTCCTCCCCGGGAGTCCTCGGGGATCGTTTCCTATACTGCTGGTTTGAAGATCAACAAAATAACTAAGGGATTCGTGATTCGGAAGGAATTCAGAAAGAGTTGCCGTAGTCTCCCAGAATCAGGTGTTGCGTTACGTCGAGCCTTCCCAACGTCGAAATAAGTAGGACGTTTCTATTACATATAAGGAAGGCCTTCTAGATAATTCGGAAAAAAGAAACGAGAGACAAAAGTAACTAGCCCACCGCGAGGGTCGAACTCGCAGCCTTCAGATCTACCCGCCCAGATGCTTGTAAAAGTCTGACGCTCTATCCGATTGAGCTAGGCGGGCTGTATTCGCTGCCCTTCACATAGGGACTAGTCCAAGCATCCGAGAAAACTGGTCTCACAACCTTGGTAGTTCTGGTAGTACACTTAATAAAAAGACGGAAGCATGCCCGGTTTAAGATGCGGACCCGATGTTCTACATAAGTTCATCGTGATGAAGCCTTCGTTGTATAAGTACACTGGTATACAAAAGATTACAGAAATAGACGCAAGCAATATAAACGACGCAAAGTAACTCAAACACCAACCCTGGAAGATAAAAGTCAGCGAGAAAGTATCAACATGAACACCTTGAGCCGACCTGTGCACTACTTTTTTCTGTTGCGGCCGTTTAGTCCCCGACATGCGCGCTGCAAAAGAGCACTGACCTGGCCCGAGAACCGGACGATCTCGCTCTTCTCCATAACAAATAAAGTGCGCTCTAGTGCATGGCTTGAATATCCCTGCTGGGTCACGAACTCCCGGACGAGACTCTGATAGCTTGTACTCCAACCGACAGGAAGCCGTCTTCGCAGTTCTCGTTCTATTTTGACCATCTCTTCGTTCAGCTCTCCGCGAGAGAGGCCATCGGCAGAACCAGCTGAGACTGCATCCATCGTGGAGAACTTGAATAACCGGATGGCTTCTTCCACATGATGATTTTGGACAACAGTGGACAGTGTCAGCTTCGCTAATGACTCCGAAATACGGATAATGGCCTCAAGCTGTCTGTAGGTCGCAAGTCAATATTGAGCTGAAATTTAAGCCGTTTCAAGACCGCGTACCGCACAGTAATCGGGATGGAGCTTCGCTCATCGTTATCACGTTCTACTTGTTGCACTTGCTTGCGCAAACTGACAAAGTGACTGCTCAACATCTCCTGGGCCTCAGCTGATAAACGCGGTGCACATTTGCTGATTGACTGCTTTTTAGCCCCAAACTCGAGCACAGCGAATAACTTGACGTACTTTTTGCAATACGCTATGTACCGTTTCATAACGTCGAGACTGAGCTCACCGACAGCCTGCTCGGCGTTCTCCTCTGGTCGATTCATATGCGTGTTCATGACATGCCGTGCGATCATCTGGAAGATACATGAGCTGAGGGCTAAAGAGTGTACATGAAACCGACCTTGTCTCGCTGTTCGTTATGCTCATCCTTGACAATGAAGATCATGTCGAACCGTGACAAGATGGTTGTCTGAAAGTCGATATTCTGAAAGCGCAAAGTAAGCGGCTGCTTTTCGCAGAATAAAATTGAATTCGCGCCTCGCCGGGGCTTCTGCCTTCGTCATATCTGCCGAAGACGGGATTTGCAGCTGCAAGGACACTGGTGCGCGAGTTCAAGACTGTCGTGATGCCGGCCTTGGCGATGGAGATAGTCTGCTGCTCCATGGCTTCGTGGATAGCCACGCGATCCTCATCTCGCATCTTGTCAAATTCATCGATGCAGACTACGCCAGTGTCGGCCAGGACCATGGCACCTCCTTCCAGGTAAAACTCGCGCTAACATCCGTCAAATAAAGTTCGCGAGTGGGTGAATATGCCAGGGCTTACGGATACCGTATCTCTTTGGACAGAAGCTGTGAGGCCGGCAGCACTGGAACCCTTCCCAGATGTATAGACCGCAATCGGTGCGACCTGAGTACTGTGAGCTTCAAAGGGATCGGAAGCCGAAAGTGAGAATAACCTTCTCGACAAATTTGAGCAGTTGACTTTTTGCCGTTCCCGGGTCACCCAATAGCAGGACGTTGATATCTCCACGGAGCCTCATTCCATCCGGGAGAATCTTCTTAGATCCCCCAAACAAAAGGCACGTTATTGCCTTTTTTATGTCTTGGACTGGTCTGAGGAGGGTATACGTTGAAAGAGTGGTAAAACTTACCCAGGCTGCCATAGATACTCGGCGCAACACTTTTCGCGAACCGCTCATAGAAGCCCTCACTTCTTGCCATCGCCCCAAATTCCTCCTCCTCTTCAGGCGTGAATTGGACTCCGAAAGGATTCGAACCAGAACCACTGGTTGGTCCCGAGGACAATTCCAAATGTACGACCCGGAGATAGGGTTGCCGGAGGGCTGCAGCACCTGCATTTTTCTGGGATGGAGGTCAATCGTCGTGTAGATGCCAGATGGAAAAGTCGCACATTTTTGGCAGACTGGAATGTCGAGTATATCCCAGTTGCAACAACTCTCGATCCGGGAACTACTTTTCCCGTCAAAAATCTGTCAACGGATAACAGCATGTGCCGGGGCAGCTCTCCGACGGGAACCATGTCTGGAGCCTCCTGGAGTTTGAGAGTTTGTTGGTCGGCGAACGTGGATTTAGAGTGAATAATCAAGTAGGGGTCGATCGGACAGTCATTCTTTTTCCCTCCGACTTCAGGCGCGTCGCAAAAACGCGGTAACCCCCGATCCGAACCCCCGCCGACTCCACCCATACCGCCAGAGGGATATATGTCCTTGGGCGTTCCACATGAGCGACACTGGAGGTGCAGTTTGGTTGCTCGCGAGGATAAGACCGAGGCAGATATGACGATCCCCGGAATGCGGACGAGCTTGTTCATAGTGTTCGCGCTGAGATCTCGGAACTGTAACATATTGAGGCCAGACCGAAGGTTAATTTGGATGCCAGAAATGGCCTCTGCAGCATCATTCGCGTTCTTCTTCTTATCTTCGTCCGTTTGACCCACACCCACGAGTGGGAAGAGGATCAAACGCGCTGCTTTGGTCGCTGCATTCTCGAACTAGGGGAGAGTGAGGTGCGTGACCAGCTGGTGCGTGCTCCACGTACCAGGGGGAGCGTGTCAGCGGGGGTATCCTGAATCTTGTGAGCTAACTCGTCGTTGTACAAGCTGACGTGTCGGAGATCGACTTCAAGGATACGTTGCTTCAAAAGGAGATTGGCTCTCAGTTTATCTCTACGCGCCGAGGTCAAACATGAGGCTAAAAGATAGGCGACAGACTTGCCTATATATGAATTCGCCACCAAGGCGATATTGTAGAAGAAAGTCGAGAAGGAGTTTTTCGGTTTCGGAAGGCGAGTCGGGGGATATCGCTGGAGGAGGATCATGGGCGGAAACCGTGTAAACCTGGCCAGCATCAAAGCCAGACATGATATGAAGCTGCGTAAGAAGATGTAAACACGAAGCGGCGCGACAGGAAGCGCGTCGGATGTGGATGAGAGGTGGGGAGATGGTGGCACTCGAAAGAGATTCAAGACGCGTTAAGTCACAAGTCACGGCGCGCTATCACGCAGCACGCTTAGTTGCAGACATCCAACGAACGAAGACATATCGGCGTTAACGGGCTCTCTCTTGCACTCTACCTATTCTCATGTTGGGATTACTCGGATAATAGAGCTGATTTTCTCGGTGAAAGTAGAAATGGCCCATGCAGAATATTAATAGGAAAAAACTGCGAATGGATCAACAAATTGGAAGTCTGGACTCTGGAGAGCAGTCTACCCTGGACGCTGAACGATATCGTATTATTATATGCATTTTTGAGAAATATCCACTGGGTTCACCTCCAATTCGTGCACAGCCACAACAAGTCACAACTCACAAAGCCACCGCGTCCTCATGAGTGCAATGGACACTGACGAGCCTCCCGTCGTTCTCTCCTCATCCACCACATCTGGTCTATCTCTTTCTCTGTACGTATCTTCCATTAGAGATGGTGCCTGGACTGAACGCATGTTTCCTAGCCATCCTCTTCCCATCCTAAACATCTCCGAACACTTGACGAGGTTAAAATTGCAGACCAATTCCAACTCCCCCTTTGGTCCGTACACTGAAACAAAAGCTCTCAGCCCTCATTGATCGTTTATCAGTCTTGGGGGCTCTCCTGGGAACGCAGAATGGGCGTGAAGTAGAGATTGTCAATACATTCGAACTTGCCGTCGAGAGTGGCGGCGAACTCGTCGACCACGGGTTCTTAGTCTCCAGACGCGATCAGTGTGAGCTTTTCACCCTACTTTGGCTCCCATTCAAATGACGTTTGTTCTCAGACAAACAGGTGTTTCCTTCACTCGAGTTCATCGGCTGGTACACGGTCGCCCCGCGACCGACCGCTCGCCACATTGCATTGCATGAACAGGTATGTCTCGATCGCAGCACATGTGCAACAACTGAACTTACAGCGCTAGTTTACGGGGTACTGCTCAACGCCGCTGCTGCTCCTCCTCCAGCCCTCGATCTCTCTCGTCGCAAGCTCTGACGTCAACGCGCAAAACCTTCCTTTCAAAGCCTACGAGCCTACAATAGAACTTCGGGATCGAAAATCTCGATCAGTATTCATCGAGGTCCCATACAATGTTGAAACGGGCGAGGCTGAGCGCATTGCTGTCGACTGGACTGCGAGGGGTGGAGGCAGCGGGACGAGCTGTAAGCAATGTCAATTCCTTGTCATTCCAAGAGTTGGCTAACATTCAACCAGTGGAGTCGCATCTTCAGACTCAGCGTGCAGCAGTGAAGATGCTTCACGACCGAATCATGGTCCTTGTCAAATATGTGGCAGATGTCGTGGCGGGTGCGCCTTTTCTGAAGAGTCTCGATGCCGTTCGTTCTCACTACTTGTTAGAACAAGCGCCGAAAGACCACGCCACATTGCGATCCCTCGCTGCTTTGATCGCATCCTTGCCTGCAACTGAAAACAACGCGTTCCGCGAGGAGTTCGAGACGGTCCCCGATTTTTCTAACCATTCCGGCTGGTGTACTGATTGTGTACATAGGAGTATGAAGACGTCCAGCTGACTGCTTTCCTATCGTCCTTGACAAAATCTGCTAATATATTGAACGATGTAAGTGCTTTTCTTTTGTGCGTCGGATGGCCGTCAACTCTTTCGATCAGCTCGTAGACAAACACATCGTGATCACCAGTGGGAGTGGGGAGCGCGGGCCCGGTGGGCCGAGGAGGCGGGGAATGGGCATGGGAATGAACCGACAAAGCGACTGGGATCGCCATTAGTATCGCTGCTCTCGCCCTTCCTTGTCGTCCTTGTATTTTTGCACCTCTCAATCGAAG